GCACGGCGACAGGCTTTCCCGTTGCTCTCCCAGCTCTCTATAGACTCTATTTTTTATATCTATTTAAAACATAGAAATGTATAAATATATAGGATATTATTTATAGATATATAGACGTGATTTAATCTCTTACTCTGTGTGTATCCGTACTGTATATGTCCATATATACAATATATATGCCGTAGCATTTGTATTATACACTGCACATACCCCCTGCTTCCATGCGCTCGCTCTCCTAGGGAGACTGGATTGCATAGGTATTTCCAGAAAACACCACTTCGGCGGATGGGGGTGGGGAGAGGGAAAGCCAGATGGAAGAGGAGGGCCGTACCATTTTCTTCCCCAAAGGGCACTTTTTCTCCCTCTGGCTAACGCACAAGGATCACCTCAGAGGCTCCTTAAAATATCACAGCTCCATCCACTCAGCTAAAGGACCCTGTGAACGGAGAGCAAGAGAGGGGTCTCCCTCCAAGCAGAAGAAGGGCCCTGTGTGTCTCCGGACAAAGTCCTCCCTCCTCAAGATGTGAGGAGGAAACCGGACCAGAATCCGTGACCCAGAACCACCTCCCCCAGGAGGCTGGTGTCTGGAATAGGACCGTCCCCAGGTCACCTGCCCTCCAAACACGCCACTCCCGCCTAAGGAGGCCTGGCCTCCCTGCATGGTCTGCCCCAGGCTGGCCTGGCTAGGGCAGCCTCTTGAAGGGGCAAAGGCGCATGAGGTCCAGTGTAACTGGAGCCCTCACCACAAACTGGGTGTGGGACCTAGAAAAAGCACAAATTCTACTTGGAAATCAACTCAGACGACGTGCCAAAACCAGATCCAGATCCAGAATCCCTGTTCCTGGAAGGGCAGGGGTTGGGGGGCAGGCAGGGGGAGGAATCTAGAAGTTCTACTTCAACTCCCAGGCTGCCTCCTGGACCCCGCGGGGCTCCAGGTGACCAGCAGCTCCACAGCCCAGCTGGGCCAAGCCTGTAGTCCATTTCTGTGTCGCCACGATCATTTGTGACATCCAACACACTTCTCCCTCTTTTCTCCTTCTTGGTATCATGTCCAAACAAAGGGAAAACATTTAAACATGACCTTAAATAATTATAAGGTCCTTCCTCCAAACGACAGGGTTGACATAAGCAAGTCAAGGAGAGGGGGCTCAGCAAGACAACTCAACGTGGAAACCTGTAGTGGGGGCTGGGGCGAGACCGCCGAATGCCCTAGACTCAGGACCCAGCACCAAAGCCGGCCATGCAGATGCCCTGGAGCTCAAGCCTGCTCTCATTCTCCAGTGAGGATGAGAAAGTAAAGGATCTGCCCTACATTACAAGATGTGGAAAAAAAGAAAAAGAAAAAGCGGGTGTTTTGGATGCCTAGACTCTCACCTTCAACCAGGCAGGCAAAATGCGGGCATTCTACATGGTAAGAGTTGCAGACAGGGCTCGGCTGTCCTCAGGGTTCACAGATACCAGATGGCCATGGGGGTCTTTTTCCTCCACGGAGGAGAAGCAAAGCATTTTCATCACAAGGGCTTGGGGCTCCCGGGCTCTGCAATGTATCTGCTTGACCTAAATGGCCATTGAACCTGAACTCACTTCCCACCCGCCTCTACGAACCGAAGAAAGTCACTAGTCAGCCAGCCCAACTAGGATGCGTCTCAACCCGAGAGACAAACATGTCCTTTTAAGCCAGTGGCTGAGCTAAAGGGCTCGCTCGACTGCATCTGAAGTGACCACATTCGAGATGTCAGGACCGCCCGGCCACAGCTCTTGACGCCCATCAAAGGGAGATCAGGCTAGGTAAGCATTTGGTTCCCTAGGGTAGACCCTGTGGGTCCCATTAGCCCAAGAGTCTTTCCCAAGGAGGCAGAAGAGTGGAAACTCCTAGGATAGAAATCACATGCAGCATTCACAGGATGGAAGCACTGAGCCTCCTGGGAGCATCCAGCTTGAAAAAGACCCTATGTAAATTGCAGTGGTGTGTCACCCAAATTGTTCCCTGGTTACTCCCTGTCCCAAGGCAAAGTGACCTTCAGAGTGCCTGACACAGCCCAGGCTTGGCTGGATTCAACAGAGGTCGTGAGCACCCCGAGTTTTAGAGCACCTTGCCAAACTTCGAGACCCCCCAGGAGAGCTCGCCCTGCCTGACGCACGGACACCTGCTGTCCCACGCTGTTAGCAGCAGCTCGTGCTTCTAGCCCAGAGGCAGCTCACCAGCTCCCTGCTCTCTCGGGAGACACAGGGTAGATGTTGGCGTAGGCCCAAAGGATTTATCCCCCCCCACCCGCCCCACCAGATAAAAATTTGAGCTCATTTTGGCCACGGCCCTCTTTGAAACAGCCACAGCCCTACCAGTGCTCAGGCAGACATCAATCATTCTCTCTTCCTGGCTTTCAAATGAGTGACCCAGGGGATGGCTCCCCAATGTAGTGGGTGGAGGGGGGCAGAGGGGAAAGGAGAAGGTGTAAGGCATCTGGTGGCTAGAAGAAAGGATCCCGACCTACTGTTTCTGGCCCCCACCAAGGCCCCCTTGCCAGCCATCTCTGCCCTCAACCCATCTTACTTAGTCTGCGCGATGTTCAAAGAAAGCTCCCACAGACGTGATAGTTTATGTATGTGGTGGAGAGGATATCAGGGAGGGAAAGGTGAAACCTTGTGCTTTGCAACAGTATCCCACTTGACCACAATTACTGACTGGGACGGGACAAAGCAGGGGGGTAGGTTGGGGAGGGGTTAGTTGGGGGGGGCTCATCAGCTTAAAGCAGGGACACGGTACAAGGCTGGGAATTTGCTCAAAGCCTCAGAAAGAGCTTTGGACATTTCCTTGCTAGTTCCTGCTCTCTCCTTGTTCAGAGGAGGGTGGGGAAGTATGTGGGACCGGGGAGGAGGCTGGAGGGTGAATGTTACCAGGTGGGGGTGCATTGATTTGTTGAAGAAGGCAGCATATGAGGCCTGGCAGTGGGACAGTCGGAGAAAACCAGTTTTTCGTTTGTTTGTTTCTTGTTTTTTAACATGCTACATCACTGTTGAAAACGAACAAAAAAGTTTCAAAAATAATATATAATATATATATATAATATATTTATATAATGAAAAGCTATCGACTAGCAGCAATGATTCTAAAGTTATCTTAGCACCAAGACCATAGGGGTGGGGGGAAGGGATGTGTGGGGGGTGAGGGCACTGGCAGGACGAGGAAGGGGTAGTGACATGTTCAGTGTTGATGACATTTCCACTATGGTTCTCGACAGTGGCATGAGGCCTCAGAGACAAGATCAACCAAGAAGGAAGGAAGCCACCACAGTTTTATGTCTGAGCCGGGCAGGCTGGGGTCACGGGGCCTTGCCTGTGGCCAGATCACACCGTCCTTTGCCCACCCTCTGCCAAGGGAGAGGGGTGGCTCCCAGCAGAACTGACCACGGACACTGCAGCTCTTCCTCCCTCCCCCACATCGGACCTGCATCCACAATACAAGGTCTCTGCATATCCAATATGCATAAATCAGATGTGGAAACATGAACAGAAGTTTTTAACAGCTCACGCACATTTTTTTTTTTTTTAAACTCCCTTGCGAGGTATACTGGTAGTTAAATGAACAAAAGAGCACTGATCAGACTCCTCTAGCTTAAACCACTACTTGCCCCAGGGAGTAGGCAAGTGGCTATTTCTAAAGCTTATAATCATGGTTGTGTGTGTGTTGTGTGTGTGTGTGTGTGTGTGTGTGTAGGCAGATGCCTTGAGAGTCCTGTCTGGCCTCTTGTTTATTCCTTTTTCTTTAGGACATCTCTACCCTGTTCAAAAAAAGGAAGCATTCACCAGCATAGATACAACGCCTGATTGCCCACTGCCTCCTGCCAGGCTGAAGGGTTTGGTACCAGCCTTGTCACAAAAGAAGGCCTCAAGCTCTCGAGACCCTCCTTCGAGTCACGCATAACCCAGGGCACAATTTGCATTGACATCTCCTGCCACTGAACTAGAGCAGGCATTTGATTATTAAAGGAACAACAACAACAACAAAATACCCCCAACACATTATGTGATTATAAAGACAGAGCATAAATAATTCATGTAAATGGAATACATACCTTTCATTTTACTTGTTTTTAGCCAAAAATCACTGCCCTGTTAGGGTCTGGATTTCTTGGCTCTTCATTCCCCACCCCACCCCCCAGTCCTGGATCTGACTGGAATTATATTATTTTACCCCACACTATGTAAGAACAGGAATGCAAAAAATCCCCCCCACCCCCCTTACACACACACCTTGTCCCTTCCCCAGGATTTCAAGCTCGATGGTAAGGCAATTTTGCCTTCAGTATAACAGGTAAGATCTTTAGGATCCAGGGGGCCGGAAGGAGGGAATCCATAACCCAGGGACGGGAGAGGTGACAGAGGTGGGGAAGTGGTGGGTGTCACAGTTTGACTGACACGTTAGTTTCTAAGACAGTGAAGGAACGCTCATCAGGAAATGCATACAAACCTCTCAAGCTGAAATCAGGTGGGAGAGGGAAAGAGTCACATACCCCAATCCAGATACACCACCCACCCCATCCCAGATCGGAGATGGGGTTCAGCTCCACCAGTGTGTCCACGAAGGGGCCAAGAACCCCATCGCAGACCACACGAGAAAAGGAAAGGCAAGAACGTAAACCCAAACCCAAACCCCTCAACCCCCAAGCAAAAACATACAACAAACCACCTAGAGGTGATGACAAAGACCCGTCATTTTAGCTTAGGCCGTTGGTTGGCTGTTAGGTGGGAACGCGTGTGGCCCCAGCACGTGCTTCCGTGAGGGAAAAGGATGGCCACGGAGGTTGCAGCTGCCAGATCTTGTAGATAAGAGTCCGTTTCCAACATCATTCCTTTGTGAAAGCTCCCAGTGGCTTCTGGTGGACACGTCACCTTGGTTTTTAAAAATTTTCAGTGTGGGCTTATATATATATATATATATATATATATATAATATAATATATATTTATATAATATATCAAAGCTTATGAGTATAGATTAAAAAAATATTCAACAGCTTAGTGAACTCTGGAACGCCGGCCCCCTAGATGTCCGGGTAAAACTCTGACCCGTGGTCCACGGTCTGCAGCACTGGTTTCTGCTCCAGCGCTGACATCCTGCTGAGGACCTCGGCGGACAGCGCGTAACTGCTGCCCGACTTCTCCTCAAACCAGCTGTCCAGGGCTCGCTTGGCATCAAAGTTGGCGATCGGCGGGCCGTTCACAGCGATGGTCAACAGGTCACTGAGCTGCTCTAGGGTCAGGCGGGAGCGGTGGTTTTTGCGAACTCGCTGCAGGGCATTGCGGCCTTTCTCGCAGCACACGGTGGACGTGGGGAGGACTTTGAGGACCTGGATGATCTTGTTCAAGAGCGGGAAGCGCTGTTTGTACTTGCAGATGTGGCCGATCAGGTCTTTGAAGCCATTTTTGGTGTAGTAATCCGCCTTGAGTTCCCGCCACTCCATCAACAGGCTGCCCCGGGGGTCCAGCCCCTCCCGGCACACATCCCGGGAGAAGGTTGGGATGGCCTCCAGGTGGTCAAATATCTGCACCATGTCCTCCTTGCCATAGCTCAGGAGCTCCTCGCTGTTCCTGGGCCAGGCGGCCAGGTCGAACACCTGGCAGGCCTTCACGAAGATCCGGCTTCGGGAATCGAACCTCTGAGCCAGGATCACCTGGGTCTTCTGGCAGATCTTCTCCCTGACGGACTGGAACTTGGCCTCGGCCACCCTGAGGTTCTTCACTGCAATCCCGTTGAAGCTCTCTCGAAAATTCTCCTCGAACTCCTGCAGGTACTCCCCCGGGGAGTCGGCCAGCCGGCTGATCTCCTGGATGGCCTCCTCGATCTTGTCGTCCACCTGGGACACCAGGAGGTACTCGCCCTGGAAGATGTAGGCCAGGCGCGAGAGCACGGCGATCACGTCCAGGAGGAAGTAGATGAGCTTGACGGACTGGTAGTCCATGAGGAACTGCAGCAGGGCCAGCGCAATGGCGGACGCGTCGGCCCGCTGGGTCTGGCTGCTGACGTCCTTGAGGTGGGCCACCACCTCCAGGTAGTCTTTAATGAGCGCGTTGAGGACATTCTGCTCCCCGATGATCCACCTCACGGCGCGGATGTCCCCCAGGAACTCCGTCTCCTCGCACAGGGTGGACGCCGTGGACCGGAGCTCGCACATGAGGCGCGGCGAGTACCGGTAGAAGCTCAGCAGCTGCTTCAGATTGTTCTCTAGCTCCTCCAGGCACGGGAGCTCCTTCCCGCTGATGGCGTCCAGGACCTCCAGGTGGGGCCGGTGCACCATGAAGGGCAGGCACAGCAACCAGGGCAGTGTCTTGCGGATCGTCATGAACATGCTGGCGCGCAGGCTGGCCGTGACGTTGGCCCCGTCGATGCCCAGGCCGACGGTGGGCTTCTCGTCCTGCAGCCGGATGCCCAAGGTCGAAAAGGCCCGGTCGAGCGCCTGCAGGTAGCTCTCCGTGCTGGAGAAGCCCAGTTCCTGCAGGGACAGGAACTCGGTGGCCGGGGGCCCGTCGCTGCTGGTGTACTGGACGTAGACGGCCACCGTGTCGGCCAGCAGGTCGTCGCTCTGCCCGTCCAGAATGATGCTGAGGCAGGGCGACTGGCGGATGCGCTCCACCAGGTCCTCCCGCAGCGCGCGGGCAATGTGGTGAATGAGGATCTGGCAGTCGCCCTCGTTCATGTACTGGTCCACCACCTTGAGCTCGCACTTGCGCAGGAGCTCGGCCAGGGGCCGGAAGTCCAGGTAGGGCCGGCCCTCGAGGGCCAGGTGGTAGGCGGTGTTGAAGAGCAGGGTCATGTTGCGGCACATCTCCTCCGTCTTCTCGGGGTGCATGCGGAGCTTGTACAGCTGCAAGCACTTCTTGTGCAGGTTGCTCTGGCTGTGCAGTTTGATGGTGTGGATCTTGAACTGCTTGGAGCCAATGATGAAGGCCGACGTGCGGGAGGACTGCACGGTGTACTGACGGCACACGTGGCACCACATCTCGTTGAGTGTCGGGGAGTACCGCAGGAACCAGAACTTCTTCAGCCATTCCTGCTTAAAGCGCCGGATGCGGCGCCCGGTGGCGGAGGACATCTTGGAGGGCTCGTCGGTGGCGGTCATCATGTCATTGGAGACGGACTCGTCTGCAGAGTCGACCTCCTGGTCATCGTCCTCCATGATGGCGGGGCCGGAGACCATGCTCTCGGAGGCTGGAAGACAAATGGGAAGGAAACATTTAAAGCCCAGCGGCAAAAAACGCCGGCTCTTCCAGAATGAACGGGAACACGGCCCGAAAGGTCGGTGCCACACCCGTGTGAAACAGAGGCCAGTTCCGAGGACAGACTGAAACCCAGCCTAGAATTTTATTATTATTATTTTTTAAATATATACATGAGCACTCTTGTTATCCATGGGTGACGGTTCCTCTCTGGGGATTACGCCTGGTGGCCGTCCTGCTCCAGGCTGCCTGCCTTTACCCTCCGCTAGTGGGCGCTCAAGGAACTCAACCTCCTCTACCAACGGAGCAGCAGGGCCAGCGGCCGCAGGAACAGATCTGCGGGAGAGAACACAGCTCACTCAGCCTGCCCAAGTCACACAGCCAGGGCGTGGGGCTCGGTTCTCTCGGCGCTAACGTGCTCAGGGCAGGCGTGCAGGCAGCTTGCCACGGCCCCAGCTTATTTCAGGATCAGAATGCAGTTGAGTTGAGACACATGCTTTGAATATCTGAAACACCTCATTCTGAGCTAAGGGATGTGGTTAAAATAGGAAATGCTATGTAAATACTCGGACTCAGCTGCATTTGTGTACTGAAAAAACCTTCCTGGTTGTCGATCGGTTCTAAAAGATCCAGACAGCCAACAGAAAAAGGCCAAGGCGTGCAGCCACACGTCCCGTATCCCAGGCTTTCTACAATTCCAGGCGAGGCGGGGGGGAGGACCATGTGTGGCAGAACAGCAGCTCGGGAGAAGAACGAGGCCGTGTCCCGGGACTGAGTTTGAGAAGGCCGGGAGCTCCCCCCGACGAGCTGCCCTGCTTGGGACTGGGGAAGAGACAAAGACTGGGTTTAGAAGTTGAGCATGGGGCTGAGACACCACCAGGACCGCCAGAGAAAGGCAACGGGTCAAGAACACAGCACACACCCCTCCTGCAATGGAACTTCCTTTATTGACGAGGAGGATACAAGGGCGAGACATGAAGCATCCCACTGGGGCCGCAGAGCAGCCTGTCTGAAGCAGGCACCTGCGGGCGTGGGTCTCCCCGAAGGTGGCTCCCACAGAGAGCGCCAGGCCACCCTCACACTGCCCACAGGGTGCTCTGCCCTCCGACCACCATCTCATCCACACCGACTTACCTGCAGGGTCCGAGAACTCTGGGAGCTCCAGTACCTGTGCTGGCAATACGGGAGGTTCGGGAAGCTTCCCAGACTTAAGCATGTCTAGTTCGGCCTGGAGTTCCCGGACCTTCTTCTTTAGGCGAATACAATTAGGGCAAAAGGAGGTGGTGGGAAGCTCGTGAGGGTCGGACGCAAGGGAGGCCTCGGCGGGACTGTCGGCCTTGAACGATGAAGGCTCTTCTTCTTCATCCTCCAACGGAAGCCCCCTGGGCTCCTTGGAAGCCCCCTGGGGAATCTTCCAGTCCCCTTCCCCCTGGGTCCGGCTGACGTTCTGCACGCCATGCGACATGCTCATTGCACACCGACTGTAGGCATCATCCTGGTACTTGGGGACCTTCCTGATGACCAGCGAGGTGCTCAAGGCCAGCTGATGCGCTTCCACCTTTGCGGATTCCAGTGAAGCCTCCAACACATCCTTGAAAATGAGGTCAATCTTCTTCTTCTTGGCCTGGGGGTGTGCGTCCCCCTCGTCAAAGCCACGCTTGTATGGACTTTTGCCCTGTCTCAACACGGGGAGCTGAAGGGGACCCCTCAGGTCTTCTGGGTTATCCAGAGCCTGCTCAGACTTCTCCCTCTGCAACCTCTTCTCTCCTAGGAAGGAAAACCAGGGTGTGAGGACGTGGGGAAAAGCCCCGACGTGGGAGAAACCGACAGAAAACAAAGCAGGCCTCCTGCTAGGAAGTCACTGGACACATCCCTCTGGGGCTGGCCCTGTGGGGGCAGGCGTGACAGAAAGGGAGAGGCGGGTCACTCCGTGGATCACGGGGTCTAGAGTGGGACCCAAAAAAGTGGGAAGAATTCTTGAAAAAGACCATTTCAAGGGAGCCTTACATCTATAAGCTACACATTTGTAGGCTGAGGGAATGCTGGAGGGGAAGGCAGTTGGAAGTGCGGTCACCCCAGAGGCTGACACCCCACCGATCAGACTGGGTAGGTGGGAGCGCGCCTCACAACTCAGCACGTGTGGGACCCCCGCCCTCCAGGCTTCTTGTCCGGTCCTGGCAATTGAGAGATGGCTGCTTCGACTTGGTAAAAGGTACACAGGAAACACCGCGTCCGCTCCTTCCTGCTCCCTGACTGCCTCCAGACGGCCCTGTGGGGCCAAGTCCAACCCGCAGCAACCGTCCTTTCTAACTCTCCCAGGATTTCGGAGGACGAGGTGCACGGGAGAGAAAGTGACCTGAACGCCTGTGGTTCTCCCTGACAACTGAGGCGGGAAGGAAAAAGGGAAGACGGGGCCCCTCCGGTGGCTGAGGGCTCCCGGGGAGCAGCCTCCAACAAGATAAAGAGCCGCGTGACCACACTGACCCAAAGCATTCTTGAAAGACAGCTCTGTCTCCTTACCTGATCCTTCAAAGGACGTTCCCTTTTCTATCTCTTTCCATCATGTGACTGACTTCAAAGACGTTGGTGAGCTCCCAACAGTAATTTTAGCCTGATTCTTTAAAACAGCCGACACAGTTTCATAAATGGCTATAGAAGTGTGCTTCCTGGGGGTGCAGATGCTAAAGGGGGACCCTCAGAAGGTCCTGACAGCAGCCCGTGGGGCTGGGAAATCTCAAAGGCTTCCTAGATCAGGGCAGGGTCCTGGGAAATGACTCTGGGCAATGACTCGGCCTGATTAAATATTGCAGTTAGGCTTCCGAAAACTGGGTTTGCTGAAAAACCACTGAGTGAAGGCCAAGGGATCTCTGTGAGCGATCCAGATGTTCCAGGCTGTGACAGAGCCCTGGCTTCCCACAGCCGGCGAGGCGTACTGTGCCCCGGGCCACGTAGGAATCCGGGTTTCCTACAGGTAACAGCACAAATGGGGGTAACCTATTCCGGACACCCCTCTTCTGCCCTCACATGAATGCCTGAGGAGCAACCTCATGTTCACGGCCCCTGAAAGTCAGGTGGCTTTCACAGCCTACAGTTCTATAACCCCTGAGGGGCAGAAAGGATGGAGATGAACGCTTGTAAACAATGCAACATATTTGTATTACAGATCAGCTGTGACACTTGCCCATGTAGAATCTCTAAACATCAAGGGCCACCCTTTCATGTCTCACGGACCAATCAGGCAGCAAAGAGCTGAGGATGTTGAGAGGTCAAGGACATCACCAGGATGTTGAGAGGTCAAGGACATCACCAGGAGTCCTCATGCCTCTCTGCTCAAAGACAAGGTCATTCAGATTTCCTAGGATGCGTGGGAGACTTCTTGGGACTCAAGGCTTCCAGAAAAATCTCAGGGCCAAAAAAGACCTTTAAGCACCATGAAGCTGATTTCAAAGCCTCCATAAAATATGGAGAAAACACCATAAAGTGAATCAGTGACTCTAAGTAGATTAACTAACATAAATTTTTTGAATACACTGTATTAGATGCATCCTGTTTTTACAAGATAGCCACAAAGGTATAATTTACACTGTCTTCAGGAAGCAGTTCTGGACTCCGAGTAATGTCCCTGCTTAAGAAGAACGAATAATTCACGCTCTGGCCTTTCTCAGGGCTCCAGCCTCCAATTATGAAGAAACCACCTTCCACGCAAGACCTTCAGTGACTGAGGGTAGCGATCCCCTTTCCAGAGTGGGGCTGGCACACCAATCTAAGCCTCTACCAACTATGCAGAGTCTGCCAAAGCTACAGGCTACAGAGACATCTCCACATCCAAAGGCCACTGACCTCACCACTGCTCCCAAGGGCTTTGGGACCAACACTCCCCCCTCCCCTCACTGCTCTGGCCCTGCCCCACACGATGCCTTTCGGTCTCCTTCCTGTTTCCTACTGCTCAGCCTGGCCAGGAACAGACCCTCCTTCCTCCTGTATCTTCACAAGTCTTCGTGGATCTCATTTCAAATCTCTCTGCCATGCCTCCTTTGAACCATTCCTGAAAGCTCACTCCCTTCTCTGAGCATTCCCCTTGGGTCTCAGGGCTCTCTCAGGATGATTGCAGCTTGACGTGCTTTGGAGAAGACACCTGGGGGGGAAAGGACATTATAAATCCAGAATTCAAGACGATTATGGCCAAGGGACGGAACCTGTGTCCTCAGATATGACTTTGCTTGGTTTTCTTTTCTTCTGATGATATGGTTCTTGTGGAGACTTTTTGGCTGTCTTCATTCATTGCTTCTTTTATCCATTTGACAAAGATTTATTGAGCTCCTACTAGGTATCAGACACGCTTACATAAGGCATCTTCGGAGGTCAAATGGAAACCGTGGCCGTCTCATCATAGAAACATGCCTTCCCGAGTGAAATCAGCCTGTACCCAACCCCCAGATCCAAAGGAGACAAGAGATGAGTATGTCTACTGGGCCTCCTCACTGCCCATCCAATCACAGATACCTTTTACCAAGTCAGGCAGCAGCTGTGCATTCAATGTCCACAATCTGCTTTATTCTGTTTTGTTTTTAAAAATAGCTTAATTGCAATGGGCCACCCCACCCCCTCTTCATCTTCTCCGCTCATACTCCACATGAAGATTTATTTCCAAGAAGTAGTTTGGTCAGGAATGTGATATGGTGGGACTTGGGTATAGCCCTGGTTCCCAGAACCACACGGACTCTGGGTATTTGAATGTGCATTTTTAGTGCAAGGAAAGTCCTCAGGAAAGAAGGAGCCAGACTCGCCAGTTTGCCTTGGCCAGACTGAGGATGGGGCTGAGGCAAAGGGCTAGGGGCTGGGGAGTATTTTAAGCCACTTTCCAAGGACTCATTTAAATGGAGCCTGGATGGACATCTCACCCACCAGGCCATCACCCACACCTAAGGTCCCCTTCCCACCTCCCTCCAACCTTCTTCTTCTAATAGAGACCGTTCGTGCAGAGCCTGGGATTAGGACTTCCAAGAAGGAGACCAGGAGGAAGCAGGGAAGAAACTAGTTTTGTCAGGGAGGCCGTGTAACACTTTCAGTTAGAGGCTAGACCCTGCACAGAGACCGATGTGCATGAGAAACCCAGCGCTGCCCTTCCTAGCCACGTGACCCTGGGGGAGTCACTGTATTCATCTGATGCTCAGTTTCTTCAGTTGTGAGATGGGGATCACAGTCCACAGGGGATCGTTAGAATTAAGAGCTTACAGTTGAGGGCTCACAGTGGTCAAGGCGGGCATTGTTCTCGGTGTGTTCTGTGGAGTACCCACCTAACTCTCCCAGCTCGCTCACCAGGCAGGCGCTCCTGTCGTGATAAGCACGTGAACGCTACAGAACGGCTGCTCTGCGCGTGTGACTTACTTAGTCAGCATTAGCTACTACTGAGCCAGTGGCACCTTCTAGCATCTTTCCATCAGTTGGACTTGGGGAAAGAGGATCCATTTTGATAAAACGCATGTGCTTGGCTCTGGGGCCTTGTCTCTCTCGACACTCTCAAATACCTGTAACAGGGTTTCTGGGGGAGGAGAACACGCGAGAGTGCCTGCCGCCCTGCTCTGAGCTGCCGCTCACACCCAGACCGGCTGCCCATCCCCCTCCCCCGCCCCCCGAGTCCCTCTGGGTCTCCCCATTGCTGGTAGACTGCATTTCCCATCAGATTTCTTAGGAAGCTCCTAGAGAAGCAGCTCTGGCTCCCCCTGCGTGGGGTGGCTGTCGTGGCCCTCGCCTGGGGGTGGGCACTCACCTCTGGCCAGATTGCGGTGGATGGTTTCCTGCGACATGCTGTGCAGACGCTTCATGTAGTCCTCGCTGTACCAGACCCGGAGCCGCTCCCCGGGCCGGATGTCCCTGCACGCCCGGAAGTAGATGCGCTCGCTGTGCTGGAACGCCAGCAGGTTCTGCTCCCTCTCCTCCCGGGAGATGACCACGTACCTGGGGGCGAGGGGGACAGGTGAGAACGCACGGGCCACTCGTGGCTGAGTGCCTGCCAGGGCCAGGCATGGTGCCGGGCAGGCGTGGCAGGTCGGAGGTCCACAAGCTTGTGGCATGTGCTGAAAAGCCTCTAAGGGCAGCCCGCCTGTCCAGGATCGGGACGCCGGCTAGGGGCCAGTCCCTGGTCTCAACGTCACCGTTTTGTGGGACCTCGAGCAAGTCCCCGAGCCTCTAGGAATCTCTGTTTTCTGAGACTAGAAATGACAGCTGCCCTGCCTACCTCCCAGATTCTGGCAGATACAAATTCAGCACCAGCTACAAAAATGACTGCAAACTGGACAGATCAGGTCAGTTCTTCCTCAGTAGCTTTCAAGCGCACGGACCCCCAAACACCCGCGGGCCTCTGATGGTGGTAAGTGTGGGGTTCTTGGACTTTTTCCAGTATTTCACAAAGTCCAGCAGAAATAACCCATGTGACAAGGGTGCCCAAAAGGTCAATTAATAAATGCTAAAGATCACTATCTTTAAAAAGTGGCTGTCCAGTGCGGAGAGAAGAGGGAGGTAAATAAGAGACAAGAAAAGGTTAGCAACTACTCATTAATCTAAGTCATTTTAAGGTAAGGAAACTAGGACTCAGAGAAGGTAAGGGACTTGCCCAAGGTCACACAGCTAATAAATGGGAGGTGGAGCTTTGAGGTCTGTTTTCCTATGTGAGCCTGTAAAGCACCGACTCAGAAAAGCCCAGATAACCTTGAAAGTTGCGCCAAACCCTCAGAATCGCTCCCTTCCCCAGCTCTCCCTGAAATGACATTTCCAACATCCAACCAGCCACCTCCAAAGGAGGGGATGACGTAACACGTACAGAGAAGTAGAGGCATATAGCTCAAAAGAGGAAATCGTTTGGAGTTTTAAGGCTCTGTGCTATGCGAGCATCTAGGAAATTTGGAGTCAAAAATGAACTTCTTTTCCTCATGCTATGGTTTGTCTCAAAAGCCACGGAAGAGATCAAAGTCTGTCTGACTGGCCTAACTTGGAGCAGTCCAGGGTAAACAGTAATTCACAGAAAAAAAATCCAAGGGGGTAATGAACAAATGAGTATTCGGCATCACTAATACGGAACACAAAGTAGCACCTTGTCTCATTGGCACAGATTTCTCTCTCTCTCTCTTCTTTTTAAATGATAACACCCATCTTGGCTAGAAAAGCGCCTCCCACACTAATGGGAGAAAGTAAATTGGCACGACCCTTTGGGACACAAATTTGGCAATGTGGCCGTGAGCAAGTATTCGTGCATCCACGTTCACAGCAGCATGATTCACAATAATCAGGCAGTGGAAGCAACCCCAGTGTCCACTCATGGAGAAATGGATAAACAGATGTGGAATACACACACATTGCATTTTACTCGGCTTTAAAAAGGAAGGAAATTCTGATTCATGCTATCACATGAATGAACCTTGAAAACACATAGTAAGTGAAATGAGCCAGTCACAAAAGGACAAATACTGTAAGATTCCATTTATATGAGGTACTTAGACGAATAGTTAAGTTCATGGAGATAGAAAGCGAAACGGTGGTGGCGGGGGCGGGGTGTGCCGCTGTGTGGGGCCGGGGGAATGGGAAGTTAGGGTTTAATGGGTATTCTGTCTCAGTTGGGGAAGACGAAAAGAGCTCTGGAGATGGATGGTAGTAATGGATGCACAATGTAAATGAACTTAATGCCGCTGAACTGTACACTTAAAAAAAGAAGTGGTTAAAACGGTCAATTTTATGTTACGTGCGTTTTGTCGCAATTTTTGGAAAATTTAAAAAGGGACCATAAGATGCAGACCAAGTAGACAAACTCTACCGACCACCACCCTGCCTGTATCATTGTTTACAATACGCAAAAGGAAAGACAGCGAAACGTCTAAGACTGGAGAAACGGCTTAGTAAACCGTGGTATATTCATTCGTACGATGGAATGTTACTCATCTACAGAAGAATGTTTTCAGTGGATCTTTCCTGACGTGGAAGAACGATCCTGTCCTGATAGAATGCAGAGTGAGAACGTAAGTCCGGAAGCTATTTACTCTACAGTTTCAGTCATGCTTTAAAAACAAGCCTCACTCGGTAAGCTACTTGAAGGAAATATACCAATGTTTTACCAGTGATTGATTATCCGTTACAGGTGGATCCGCTCTATCATTTTTTTTTTCTGTATTTTCCAAGTTTTCCTCGTTAAGCAATTACTACAGTTACCCCCATGGCCACCCCCTAAAAAAAGACACACACGAACGCCAATTCCAGGACTGGTGGTGGTCCTGGTGGCCAGCCACATTGTGAGTCTACATTCGCCGAGCCTCAGGCATAGCACCCTTGAGCACATCCTGCCCCGTGTCGTCGGGGACAGTCCCCTGTGGACTCTGTTCTACTCGGCCCTGGAGAAGGCCATGACCTTACAAGGGGGACCACTAGAGTCCAGGGACCACGCCACCTAGTAACAGGCTGCAGCGTGGACCCCTGGGTTGTGGGAGTTAGGCCAAGGGGGGCAGGAGTGCAAACATGAGCTTTTGGCTGCTTCACCCGTGTTTAAAGAAGCAGGTTGGGGAGGGGGGGGTCACACTTGCAGGATTTGTGGCACTTAGATCCTCAGAACTTGCTTGGGTCCAGGAACTTAGCCTCAACGCATCTGCGCTTGTCAGAATCAGACATGAGCACTGGTCTCCCTGAGCTGTGAAGACAATACTGTGATATCCAGGATGCCCAGTCATGCCACTAACGAAGAACCTGGGGAAAGGAAAAGAGGACCCCTGGCCTAGAGATGTCTTTCCAAACGAATACTTCCGAGTCGCAACTCTCTAGCACAGGGGTCTGCTTTTCTCCGGATCTGAGATTCCTTCTGAATGTGCAAAATATTTTCCAGTCCCCAATTTTAGCGAGAGCCTGGGGTTTGACATCCAAAATTAATCACCCTTGTGGTTAGTGCAGAACAGAACTGGGGTAGATCCAAAGTTTCCCACTCCCGGATTCGGAAGGCAAACCATTCATTCATCTTCCCTCACAAGAATCACTTGGATCACAGAGCACAAGGAAAGAGACACTCTTCTCTTTTTGGGGGGGTGTTTAAGCAATCATCAAGCCCTAAAAGCTAGAATTATTTTCTCTGGCATCCAACTTTAGGAGAAAAAGAGATGAGGAGCACGTAACTATCAGGGATCTCCTCAAAAGAGCAACTTCTAGACTACGTCCGAAACTTTAGAAAGATTCAGGTCAATTTCCCTTTCTACCTCCTGGTGGTTTCCTGCCCGATAAAAATCAAGGTTTAGGAAGAGAACTCCAAATCTGTGCAGCAATCACAATCTTCCAAGACAGATCAAAATTTGTTTAGCATCTGGTTATATCTGGTTGTTTTGAAACTTGGCATGTGAAATATGACATATATGGCAACTCTCAGCAAATCGTAACCACCAGTCCCCTCAAGATGTTGAATGGAGCCAAGCTAAGTCCCAACACAAATGACCTCAAGTCAGATCTCCCTCTTGTAAGTATTTTGCAGTAACCCCCAATGGTTTGATCCACTCACAGACTCCTTCTGTCCCCATGCGACAATCCCTTTATGAAGAGCCACGCCTGTCCCATTCCGAGAGCTCCCCCTGGAAGACAAGGCTCATAAAGAGTGAAAATCTCTGTATCTGTTGAGTTTCCAGGTCACTACTTCGTTGGAGATAAGGCACAGTGTATGTCAGAAGGAGGTGGAAAATGGCTAACGCAGGCCACTCTACAAATAATAGAGCTCATCTGATAGCTTTTCAAATCAGACCCACAGAGTTGACGCCCTTTGAAGCAATCAAGGGGGTGGGTGGTAGTGGTGGTGGTGGGGGGGGGGCATGTGTTCTCGACTGAAAGTTTCATGATGAGAATGGATAGTTTTTATTCTGAACTCCTTGCTGACTTTGGGTACTGGATAGATAAGCACTAAGACAACACTCTCACACCTCACCCACTGTGCCTTATCAAATGCACCATATTTTCTCGCTGGGTCAGGAAATGACTATCAGTTCCAACAGAAGAGAGAAAATAACCCACGGGGCATCCATTTTGTTGGAGTGGGGGCAGAGAAAGGCCAGGCTCAGACAGTCCTGCTCAGTGGGTATGTCTCTGATGGAAGGAAACTGCACCAGTCACGGAGGGCAGAAATGGGAAAGAGTGACCAAGAAGAGGCTGAGCTCCGTTTTCTCACATGCGTTTAGGTCTCGAGCTGGACAGGTCTTTGGGTCATGCATCCACCCACCAGATGGCCACCCAACCTCCGACAGAACATCACCCAGCCAGCCTTTAAAGCGGCTGGAGGCCTCAGACCCTTAGGTGGGACTTCCCTACCTTACACTGAAATTCACTTCTAACCACTGGCCCCAGTTTCGCCTTCCTGTTTTGATGTGCTAGACGCACAATCCCCACCGAAGCCAAGAAAAAGAAACTACAGAAATTTCATCTGAAGGTCACAGGCTCTTCATCTCTCTGTCCCCTTTGCTTCCAACTTGATCCCTTCCCTCCCCAGGACCAGAGGGAGGGGTCTGCCAGTTACTGGTCAGCACCTAGAGACCAGGCTGCAGAAGACCCTGGGCCCAGTTTCACAGTATCTTTGCCTGTGGCAGAAATCGGATAAGTTTGATTTCCATGGCCATGCTTTTCGGCCAAGAACAGAAGAGGATGACCTGGGTCCCAGGAGGTCAAGGGCGGGCTGGAACCTTCCAGAGAGGAGATAGATCCCTGGTCAGGACTTGGGGATTTCCTGCTTGGGAGGACCTCTCTGTGTGACTGGGAGTAACGCCCAGGTTAGGAGGCCCCTTCTCTTCTAAGGAGACTCCCAAAGGGACCCGGAGGACCCGCTCTGGTTACTTTGAAAGCCTCAGCTCTCGGAGGGCAGGGTCTTGCCTGTGACAGACAGATACCAGGATCAGTGGGGAGGTGTCCCCCCAAAAAGTTCATGCCTCAGGCTGGTCCCTGAAGTACACTGG